TTTTCTAATATAATTAATTAATATTAAAACAACAATCCAATAATATACATGATTTTAAAATGTTTTTACAATTATAATATTTTGTCACTTTTTATAGCATATTATTAACAAATATATATATAAAACAAAAATGTAAAACATTACACTGCAAGAACTCTATTTGCTTTAATAAAAAACAACAATTATCGAGGGGGGAAGAAATATGATTTCAGTTTTAAGTTAGGGAATTAAAAACAAATGTTAATTAAAACATTCACATTTTAATACTGGTATACTAACATTTTTGCATTTAGCAGATTATGAACATGGGATTTTATGTCTACAGAATTCATATGTTTCCATTTCTCTTGTTCTGTTGGGAGCACAAGAGCTGACATTGCATCCAGGGTTCTAAACTCACATCAGACAGAATCGGGTCAAACGCTGCACATGTTAGAAAGACTTTTTGGTGACAGAACTCAGCCCTTGACACCACAAACCAATTGTGCCTCAAATAAAATATTCACAACAAATTAATCTATAATACACAATGCATCTTCATGACAAACACTTTTGCCAAGCCTGTTAATTGATTAAAAATTTGAATTCCTGCATGCATCAATATTTACTGAGAAAAAAAGCCCCCAAAATAAGGTAATTCGACAACACAATTACAGCAGACAAAAGCAGTGAATAAGATGCTGGGTCAACTTAAAAATAGCTCAACTTCTGTGTTTTGTTCAATTCTGTCAAGCTGCTTTTAAACACAAAAACATGTCCTGCGTGAACGACTCTTTTCTAACTCATAGCAAATAAACACTAAAATATTCCTAATAAGCAACACAATGGATTACCTGCAACAAAAGCATCAAACCAGCATAAATCAACCTAGAAAATGCTCTTATCCTGGTCTTAGCTGGTCTATCTAGCATAGACGCCAACGTTGAATGAATAATTTAGCCAAAAATGAAAATCCGGGTATTATTTTCTCATCCTCATGTTGTTCCAAATCTGCATGCTGTTATTTTTTTTTTTAATCTCTGGAACACAAAAAGGAGAATTTTGATGGCGAGAATGTTTGCCTGAACTATTCCTTTAACAGAAACAGTAATAAAGGATAATGGCACTTATTATTACAAAGCCCTCAATCGGCTGTTTTTGCAACAAAAAAAAAAGGCCTAATATTACCACATTTGATGATGCTGAATTTAAAAAAATACATATCTAAAAAATTTACTATGTACAGTTTTCACTAAATAAGACTGAAGATGTTTCAAATTATATATATATATGTATCAGCTTTAAATATATCAAATAGAGTTAGCAAGATAACAAAAGCAGTCAAATGCCAAAAGTTTTGGTTTTAATGACAAAAAAGTATTCAAAAATCATATTTATCATCATTTATCATCATGAACTTACAACCTGCAAAGGAGTGGAAAAACTGGAAATCAGGATTATGCATAAAATAATGTTATCAGATTCATTCATACATGTGACACATGTGAAAATCAAATAAATAGTTGTAATCTGATTCAAAAGGGAGACTGGAATCATCATTTGTGGCCGTTTTTCTGCTGATTAAGGGCTGTTGAAAGCAAAAATAATATGAAATGCACATATTTTCTGAGAAACTGTGACATCCTAGAGCAAAACACACTATTTTTGCCATCAGCACCGCAAAATAAGTAAGAAATAAGTTTATCATTCAGCTAATTAGACGCAAAGCAGTGTTATCTGACTGGAGCGAGCTGGCTTACCGTAGTGACTGAGCCATGCGCCGCAGGTCTTCATTCTGCTGTTTCAGTCGCTCCAGCTTGGTGAGGATTTTCGCCAGCTCACGGCTAGAGCGCGGCACATCTTCGTTGTCTCTCACCAGATGTCCCCCGATATAAAAGAGCAACGTCCCCCAGGCCAGCAGGACCAGCGCTATCCAGCGCCAGGAGCCTGCCCATGGACGCATGCTGTCGCCAAACTCCAGTCACAACCGATGGACGCCGGGCATGTTGGGTCTGCCAGTTAAAGTAGAGCTCTTAAAGTTGGGCATCCAAAGGTGGCAGGTCAGAAGAAGCGGTTGTGTCTATGTAGGTACATCAATACACTGTGGATATTTATGCATCATGGCTCGTCAAGAAGGCAGATCTTTCATTCTGTATCTACAGTAGATGATTGTGGCGTTTCTGGCTTTGTAAGTTTCACTGGCGTCTTATTGGCGTTGACGTCCTTTGGAGTCCAAAAGCTGGGTTCTCTGAATGCATTACAGCTCTGGAGAAAGAAAGAGAGAAAGATGTTACAGTCAACTGGTCGGTGGGTTAGCAGACAGTAGAATATACTGTAGCTATAGCCAAAAATACATTATATGGGTCAAAATTATAGATTTTTCTTTTATGCCAAAAATCATTAGGATATTAAATAAAGATCATGTTCCATGAAGATATTTTCATGTTCCATGAAAATATCTTCATGGAACATGATCTTTATTTAATATCCTAATGATTTTATGCCAAAAATCATTAGGATATTAAATAAAGATCATGTTCCATGAAGATATTTTGCAAATATCCTACCGTAAATATATCAAAACTTAATTTTTGATTAGTAATATGCATTGCTAAGAACTTTATTTGGACAACTTTAAAGGTGATTTTCTCAATATTTAGATTTTTTTGCACCCTCAGATTCCAGATTTTCAAATAGTTGTATCTCTGCCAAATATTGTCCGATCTTAACAAACCATACATCAATGGAAAGCTTAATCAGCTTTCAGATGATGCATAAATCTCAATTTCGAAAAATTTACACTTGAGACTAGTTTTGTGGTCCAGGGTCACATAGATCGCTTATATAAAAAGAAGAAAAAAGTATTATCAGTTATCTGTCATTGATATCAAAGGTTAAACATCATCAACCAAAATGCCGTGTACATGTTCTTATTTGCGTGCACCGAAAAGGTTTCGATTTCTGCAAGATTCACAACAGGTGCAAAAATATATGTACATGTAACAGGTGCATAATATATATATGTAAATGTTTGTTCTAACGTTGACAAATCTGAAAGGTTATAAAAATATTCTGGCTTAAAACATTCCATGTTTCTAAGGCCAACAGGAGCTTGTGATTCCATGTGTTTGGAGTACTTTTTTACATTTTATGTAAATAATATATATCTATATATAGATATATCCTGCAATCCTGGATATGCATCACTGCAAGGGTGCAATGTAGCAAAACTAGAACACTGCCAGTGTGTGATCCTGCATCACTGCAAGTGAGAAATGCAACATTACTAAAGTGTTCCTGTTAGAATCAACAAAGCTGTATACACTGCAAGCATGCAACGCTGCAAGAAAACACAGCTTAGATGTTGCAGTTGTAATTTAACTCACTGCAAGTGCATGTCTTTGCAACACTGCAAGCGATGACAGAACTAAAATGTTCCTTTAATAATCAATTAAGCTGTTTACATTGCAATTGCATAACCATGCAACACCGCAGTTCTAGAAAATTCCTGTTGTAATCAACAAAGCTGTGTATACTGAAAGCATGCAGCATTGTAAGAAATCACAACTAGAATGTTTCGGTTATAATCAATTAAACTCACTGCAAGTGTGCAGTGCAGCAGAACTAGAATGTTTCTGTTTAAAATCAACAACACTGACTAATCTGCAAGTGAGAAATGTAACAATTAAAATGATCCTGTTATAGTCAACAAAAGTTGTCTACACTGCAGCTGTGCGATCCTGCAACGCTGCAAGTGAGAAATGCAATACAACTCAAATGTTCTGGTTAAAATCAACAAAGCTGTGTACACAGCAAGCATGCAAGAAAACACAACTACAATGCTCCAGTTATAATTAAACTCAAACTGCATGCAGGCCATTGTAACACTGCAAGCAGTGTGACAGTGAAGTTGTCTAGACTGCAAATGCATGACACTGCAAGTGTGGAATTATTATATAAAGATTTCAGCTTCACACACTCCATATTCCTAAGGCCAAGAGGAGTTTAAATAATATTGAACAAAATTTGATTTCAATGCTCTTTGCTTACTTTTGTATGATAAACTATGTGTCTGTGTTGAGACGCTACTTCAAATCCAGAGTAAAATCTGAGCCCTGATTCAAAACAGTTGCTACAGAGAACACATCGGGCCAATGAAAATGAACTGAAAACATCCAAATACAACTAAAACACACAAATAAAAATGCAGTCCCTCACACCCCTGCCTCAGCACCCGCAAGGATTGATCAAAATGACAATCTCACGACGGTACAATCTCATGACAGATGTGAGGAGTCTTTTAAAACGCCTGGACCAGCTGCCGCTCCTCACCACGTACATCTGTCCTGCCCTCACCTTCACGTCTGAACTCTTTCATTCTCACAGATTCAGACCCAGACAGCTAAATCCCCCTCGTTCCCCCAGACATGTCCCGCAGATGTTGACACATGCTTTGTGACCAACCGCCATGCTGTCAAACTGACGTGATGAGCGCACTGGAACGACCCTAGAAAACCCAGCGTCATCAGTTTCCCTCCAGGAATGAGTGAGACATTGTGTCTACGCTGCAAGCAAAGTGACATGCTGACAGCGATTTGCTGCGATATTAGCATCGGCAACCACAGGCAATGCAATGCTGCTGAGGAGAGTTTAACTTTACGCAAATTAACAGCGAGTGATGTGGCAGCTACCAGTGGGAATAAGAGCATAAACGAATCTGTTCGAGATGCAACATAACTACAACACTAATTATAATGAATAAAGCTGTCTTCTCAGCAACACTGCAAACCAACAACGCAACAAAACTAGAATGATCCCTTTATAATCAGAGGATAATAAAGATATCATGTTGTTGTTTTATCTTAGAAAGCACTGTTTAAAACATTCCTGTTTTAAATGAACAAAGCTGACTATACTGTAAGTGAGAAATGCAACAAAACTAAAATGTTCCTGTCATAATGAAAAAACTTGTCTACAGTACACTGCAAGCACGAAACAATGCAATGATCCTGTTTTAATCAATGCAGTTTCTACAGTGCACTGCGACCAAACACAACTAAAATGTTATAATCAACAACATTCACTGCAAATACATGTCATTACAAGCACTGCGACAAAGCTACAACAAATGCATGATCGTACAACACTGCAAGTGTGCAATGCAACAGAACTAGAATGTTTCTGCTTTAAATCAACATAGCTGACTACACTGCATACACTAAACAATGCAAAGAAACAAAACTAGAATCATCCTGTTTTAATCATTGAAGTTTCTACACTGCAAGCATGCAACGCTGCATGCAAACACAACTAAAATGTTTCCCTTATAATCTACAAACTTGCTGCAAGTGCATGCTATTGCAAGCAATGTGACAACTAAAATACTGCTTTTATAATCACAGATGCGGTCTACAAACACATGACACTGCTACAATGCAAGTGTGCAATGCAACAGAACTAGAATGTTCCTGTTATAACCAAAGTTGTCTATAACGCATGCATGCATGCAAACTTAAGTGCACACAACAAAACGTCTCAGTTACGTATGTAACCCTCGTTCCCTGAAGGAGGGAACGGAGACGTCACATCGGAGGACCGACGAAATTGGGATCTCGCTTAGAGGGACCAATCTACTTCGAGTGTAAACTAAACGAGCCAATGCACATTGGCATGCGATTATTGCATCCAGCTGCTGCTGATCACAGCGTGAGTATAAGTAGGCAGCAGGTGCAGCGCATATTCAGCTTTT